GTGTTGTTCTGTAGTTGTCTCATCAAAGGGGAAACATAAAGTAGAACAAAACTGCACCCACACACAAAAAAAAAACCTACAAATGTTCCCATGTTCAAATGCAATACAGTTTCAGAAGTTTTTCAGCATGGCAGGTGTAGTTTGGTTGTTTTCTCATCAAAGGTTAGGGAAAGAGAAAAAAGAGTCTGGAGACAGGTTTGTGAATGGTATCTGTGGCTGCCTGCCCGCTGCTGTCAGCCTGCTGTTGCTGGCGGCGTTATTTATGCAGATCTCTGGGGTGAGCTTAACACTCACCTGGCCCTGCAGTCTTTGTTTACTCAGAGTTCTCCTGTGCGCAAGCCACTGCTAAAAGCTTTCCCTTTTCCAAGCACACTGGGGGAGGTGACAGTCCACCCGCTTTCTCAGGCCTGCATTTTTATTTACAGTTCATGTGGGAGGTGGGTCTTCCCCTTCTCCTGTGGAGTTTTCCTCCCACCGCCACTTTTACAAGCTTTCCTGCTCCTGATTACTGGGCAGTGCTGCTGCTCCTGCCAGCCGCCATGTTTTGTTTAACAGCTCACGTGGGAGGTGGTTCTTCCCCCCTCTCCTGTGGGGTTTTCCTCCCTCTGCCACTCTCACAAGCTTTCCCACTCCTGGTTGCTGGGCACGCACCTCCGCTCCTGCCCTCTCCTCCCTGGCCAGGCCCGGCTTGTTTATTTACAGTTCCGGGAGGGATTCCCCTCCCCTCCTCTTCGGCACTCAGGGCGCCCCACCCTCTTTGCTACATTTCTTTATTGTTCTTATTGCTTATTTCTCCATTTCTCTTTTTTCCCCAATTGAGGGTCAGTCTGTCCAGGGGGCTATGCTGATCTGGCCCAGGGTTGTCTGTGGAAGTACCGCCTACCGCTTAGCTCACCTTGTCGGCGTCTCCCCAAGCCATCTGGGCACGGGCATCTGGTGGCCCTTGGACCCTCCTGGTTTCTCCATTCAACGTGAAGTGGAGATACTCTGTGCAGGGTGGAGGTGTGGAGGGGTCAAAGTTTTGCCTCTTCTCAGTGGCCTTGCCTTCAAGGTGTGTCTCTAGCATCTCTCCAAAATTCCACTTTAGGAGGCATGCTTTCTGCTTCCTCCCTCTAGCCACCATCTTGTGGACCTGGCCTTTGTTTTTCTTGCTGAAGGTTAGGTTGGGTCATTCAATGGTGATTTATGCTACTCAGAAGGCAGCGATCAGGAGGACAAGGTTCAAAGCCAATCTGGGCAAGTAGTTTCATGAGACCTATCTTGAAAAATACACAACACAAAAAAGGCTAGCAGAGTGGCTCAAGTGGTAGAGCACCCATCTAGTAAGTGTTGATGCCTTGAGTCCAAACCCCTAGTACCACAGGAAAAAAAAAAAGACTAGCTTGGTTACTTTATGATTCCATTTGAATTTTTCAGGCTGTTTTTTCCATTTTCTAATTTCTGTTAAAAAGCACCAAAAGGAGGTTGGGGGAGGTGACAAACATATAAATAAATGTAAAAATGATAAATTAAAAGGAGAAGGAAAAGGTCACAGGAATTCTGATAGGAATTTTACTGACTGTAGATTATACTTAGGGTAGTGTGGACACTGAAACAATATTAATTCTTCCAATCCATGAACATTGGTGTCTTTCCATTTATTTCTTTTTTCAGTTTTCTGTCATCCATTTTTAGCATACAAGCCTTTAACCTTTTTTTAAGTTAATCTGCAAGCATTTTATTCTGTTACTAGTAAAAATAGAATTTTTATTAATTACCTTTTCAGTTTACTTGAGGTATATAGAAACCCCACTAATTTTGCATAATTTTACATTTTGAAACTTAACTGAATTTGTATGTTACTCTAACATTTTTTGTCAGTCTTTTTAACATTTTTAGGCATGTCATCTGTGAACAGGGATAATTTTACTTCCACTTTAAATGCATTTTACTTATTTTTTTTGCAAGCCTGCTCTTGCTAGCACTTCCAGTAGTACATTTGTAGAGAAGTGGTTATGAAAATATAGTAAGAATTTTTAAATTTTTTCCCAGTTCGTTATGATGTTAGCTGTGTTCTTATGTTGCTGTTTTAGTGCCTTTTGTGCTATTATACAAGAACCAGAGACAGAAATTTATAAAGTAAATATAGTCATTTTCACAGCACTGGAGGTGGCATGAAACTAGTCATAATAGTCCCTTCTGATTATTTTTATTTCTGCATCAGCCACTGTAATGACTCCACTGTTATTTCTTATTTTGAGTCTTCTCTCCTTTTTCTTAGATTAGTTAAGGGTTTATTGACTGTTCATCTTTCAAAAACCAATGGCTCTTCGTTCTGTTGACTTTTTCAGATGTATCCCATCTGTTTTCACTTGGTCTAAGTTTCCTTCCATCTGCAAAGTTTTGGTCTAGTTCATTCCATCTTTAGCAACTTGATTTGCAGGATGAGACTGTTATTGAGAGCTTTTCCACTTTTTTACTATAAACATTACCACTATAAAATGTCTCTCTTAGCACTAACTTTGCTACATACCACAGGTTGGAGTAATGGTTTTTCATTTGCTTCCATGCATGATTTAAATCGTCTTTTGAGTTCCTCTTTTACCTGTTCAATAGTGTGTTTAGTTTCCATGTTTTTAATTTCCTGCTTCTTCTTCTATGATTTCTAGTTTGATTCTGCTATGGAATGAGAAAGTACTTGGTATAATCTTCTTAAATTTCATAGACTTACTCTCTGACTTAACACGCCATCTGTCCTGGAAACTGATGTGCATTTGAAGAGAATGGGGTAAGAAAAGGTGCTTTAGGTGGAAAATTCTTTATGTGTCTGTTCAGCCTACTTAATCTTAGTGTTGCTCACTTCAGCTGTTTCCTTAGAGATTTTTTGATAGCACATATGTTTAGCAATACTGTTTTACACAGGATGCTAGAGCACTTTTCTTCACATTTTACAGAAAGACTTGAAAAATGAACTTCCTATTAATATTCATAGCACATCAAATCTAACTCCTGATAGATGCATTACAATTTGTTTAGAATTTAAAGGCTTAATGGCCAAAACTATGGCAGAAAAAAAGCATGTAAGCTTTTTTATTATGAAACTGATTGAAAAGTAAACTGAAGAGGAAGTAGAAGGAGATGGTGCCAGATTTGGAAGGGTAACTGCTATGTCCAAATAATCACCTATTTGAACCTGCTGTGACTGAAGGGTCATGCAGGCATCAGTCTCCATTCTGCCAGGCACAGTGCTGCCGACCTCCTTACTCAATGGCCAGGTCTCAAGATCCACAAAGCAATTGCAAAATTGAAGTGTGTGCCCTTCTTTTAGTCTGTGTAAGCTTCTTTCTCTAAGCTAGTCAGTTCTTCCAGGGCTGCACCCATCCAAGTGCAGATCTGCAGTTGCTGGGTGGTATTCTTCCATGGGAGAACTTGTCCACCTAATGGTAGTGATAGCCAGAACATTCTGGGAAGTGAAGAACCACAGTGATGTCTTCTTACGACTGTTGGGCTTCTCCCATTCCTGCTTCCACCACATCCTCCTCCTTCTGCCTACCACAAGTTCACTCTGACTGCCCACTCCTACAGCCAACAAAAGCATGTACTCCTTACTGACTTCCTACCTAGATGTTCTATTGCCGAAAGCGAGGCAAAAAGTGTTCTACTGTTACTGTAGTGCTACTGATTTCTCATTTTAGATCTGTTAATATTTGTTTTGCATATTTAGATATTCTGATGCTCGGTTGCAAATAAAATTAAAACTAACTGTTATTATCTTCCTGGAGTTGACCCTTTTTCTTTTTTCCAGAAGGATAGTTTGTGACCTAAAGTCTATTTTATCTGATATGCTTAAGAGTCACTTCGGTTTTAGATACAATTTGATGGAATATCCTTTTCCTATGCCTCTAAGTTTGTCCTACAGTGTCTCTTTTAAATTTAAAGTAAGTCTCTTGTGGTCAAAATATGAATGGGTCTTTATTTTTATTCATACATGTGCTCTATACCTTCCCATTGTGTAGTTTAATGCACTTGCATTTGCAATAACTATTGACAGGTAAAATTTTACTGTCACCATCTTTTGCTTATTTTCTGCCTGCGTTGCAATTCTCTTCTTCTTTTACTTTTTTGCTATCTCATCTTCCTGGTTTAGTACTGGTTGCTTTTACGTATGTACAATAGAGTTTGCCCTTATGATCATAAACATCTATTTTAACTTGGTAACAAAATTCAACTGCAATACAAAAGCTACACACTTACACACAAGCACACTTTGTCACTGTGAAGTCAGAATTAACTACTTTTTGCATTGTTAATCTACTACTAAATTTTTGCCACTATGGTTACTCTACATTTTACACTTCCTTTTACATTTTATGCCATTACTAGTTGTTTCAATTCCATGTTAAGAACGTCACTAGCATTCTCTTCCGGCAAACCTGGGGTGATAAACTCCCTCAGTTTTGTATGTCTCAGAAAAACTTCATCTCCCAACATTTTAGTGGACAGCTTTGCAGTGCACAGTTTCATAGCTGGCAGTTTCTTTCAGAACTTTGAATATATTGTCTCATTGTCTCCTATCCTACAAGATTCCTTTTGAGAATTTTACTGGCTTTAAGGGGATTCACTTACTGTGACACATAGCATTTCTCTTGCTGACCTCAAAATTCTTATCTTTGGAGTTTTGTCTGTCTGTTTTTAACAAAAGGTCTCACTCTGTTTCCAAGGATGAATCTGAACTCCTGAACTGAAGTAATTCTCCCATCTCAGCCTCCTGAGCAGCTAAGACTATAAGTACATGCCACCTTGCCTAGCTCTATCTTTGAGTTTTGATGGTTTAATTATAATGAGTCCTGATGTAGATTTCATTAAATTAAATTTATTCAGAGTTCTATGGACTTGACTATCTCTTTCCTCTCTATGCTTGGGATGTTTAAGGTTTTTTTTTTTTAAGTTAAATAAGTTTTCTATGTGTCTTTTGCTTCTTAAAGAATAAATTGGCTTGGAATGATTTCCATAAATCTGACAGTCTTTCTTCATTCTTTTATTTTTTCTCCTCCCACTAGATAATTTCAAAGGTCTGTCTTTTGAATTCTCAGGTTCTTTCTTATGTGTGATCAAGTCTGCTACTGAACCACTCTAATCAGTTTTTAATTCAGTTATTATATTCTTCAGCTCCAGAATTTCTATTTGCTTCTTTTTTATGGTTTCTATCTTTCTTGAACGTATCATGTTGTTCTTGTGTTGTTTGCCTGATTCTGTTAAACTATTTACTTGTGATCTCTTGTAGCTCACTGAACTTCCATACAACAACTATTTGGAATACTTGACAGGAAATTTGTGGATCTCCATGGGACTGGGTCAGCTACTGGCAATTTATTGGCTCCCTTGGCAGTGTTATATTTCCCCAATTTTACATGTTCCTGGTATCCCTGCATTGCTCCCCGCATTTAAAGAAAACGGTCACCTTGCCCAGGCATGGACTGGCTTTGGTAAGGAAAGGCCATCACCTTGGTAAGGAAAGGCCATCACCTTGGGGAGGGACCATGGAAGCACTGATGGGAGAAGTGGAGGGAAGGTGGGCAAACAGCAGCGCATTGTTACACAAAGCTAGTAACATGTGGGTGACAAATATGGGCACAAACAACAACTCTGGTTCCAGAGGTATGCAGTAGCATGGCAAATGGGGGCTGAGAACAGTGACATCAGAAACTGTTCCTCAGGTGCAAAACCTTCTGGGTACTTGCAGTACCTAGGAGGGCTGCTGAGATCCTCCGTAATGCTTCTGGATTAAGCAGTGACCATACCTAGGTAGGAAAGGGCCAGGCCAGCGGTATCACAACTCTGGTCCTTAGGTATTGGCACATGTATGACAGTAAGGACATGCACATGCATGGCTACAGGGCCAGTGGTATACAGGTGTACTGACAACAACTGGAGGCCAGGGTGGTAACTTGCACTCCTGCATGAGGGTTGGCCATAGGCACACTCACAACAGTGAAAATCAAAATCAGAAATGCACACCAGGAACACAGGCTAGCCACAGGCGACAAACACATAGAACTAACTAGCTCAGTCTCTAAACTGTCCTACCAAGTCTTTTCACACTTTGACAAGACTACTCAAGGAAACCTCCCAGTGAAAATGGCAACAGACAAAGTACGGCTTCAAAAATCCATGCAAATTTGCAAAATATTAATTACTAGATAGTTCAGTAAAGACTAATTCTTTCCTTTTTAAACAATTAGCCCTCTGGAATTTGATAGAAATGGCTTTATTTCCTAGCAAATTTAATTTTGTCATTCTTTTATCTTCTCTCAAACCAGAAGAGAAAGGTCTACTTGAAAAAATAGCCCACCAAAATATAAGACTCCCACGATTTTGTTGAAATGAAAAACTCACCCTTTCTAACAATTTCTGAAGCTTTAATGTTTTCTCTTCACGTAACTTTTCCCTTAGTGCTGTGCTTTCATGTGTTTTTCTCATACTTCTTCTTAGATTCTGCAATTGTCCTATTAATACAAACAAATGAACATGAGACACAAATGTTTACATGGTAAGGCCCAAAATAGTATTCTTTAGATTTCAAACATCTTCAAGTACACAAAACTCATTTCAGCCTACCACTTCAGGAAAGCAGTGCCACTTTTCAATGGATCTGGAACTGTCCTGAAGTAATGTGCCAAAACACAGCCATGTGGGAACGCTACATAATAACCAAGAGCAGCTTTTCCCTCTGCGCAACATTTCAAATTAATTTGTCAAAGGCCAGACCTTTTCCGAGATGGTGAGGAAAGTTTCTCATGCATATGAATTCCATGCCCTGGAAGTCTTGCAGGCTCCTCTTCTACAATGTCCCCCCAGGATGTATTCTGGCGCCAAGATTCACGAGCTGTTCAGAAGGAAGAAAACCACTGTTACTGTTTAACCATTCAATGAAACTAACATCTGGGAACATACCTTTAAAAGTCTATGCATTCCCACCTCTAATTATTCGTTTTACATAGAAACTGCATATAAGATGGTCTATCACTTCCCACTGTACCTACACACCAAAAATACACAAGGAGACATAGACGCACACATACACACACACACATAATACCTTCATAATCTGCAAGAACATCATTCCAGTCCATAGACATACCACAGAAAGATACACCCCCACTGCCCATGCTGGCCTAAAATGTAACAAGAGAATTGGAAAACAAAATTTTGAACACAATTATTACAACCTTAAAATGAACTATACATGAGATTTTCCTATTATTGTTGACATATTCATTTAAATATTTAAGTGAAATATTTTCTGGCTTAAAACCAGAAAAAAAACGATACACATTACATAGTCACAACAGTTAGCAAGTTAAAATATCATAGCCTCTACGTTTTCAAAGCCTACTAGCCAATTTAAGCATACTGGCTTTGTACTACTCCAACACAAACTCTGGCATATAACGCACAAAGCATACACTAATAGAACTCAAGATAATTTGCTGGGCATTAAATTTAATAGAAAAATATATGAAACATAAAACTCATGATTACTTTTACTCTTCAATAAATCCCCTCCAACATGTATATCCTGAGCACTTAATGACAGAAGGGCAATGTATCATTCACTATTTGTTAGTAGAATATAAAGAGTAAAATACTTTTCAACTCTTCTTCAATCCCTGTAAGTTACAGTCTGAGTAAAGAAAAACTAAGAACTTATTCTTATTTACTGTGAAACTCAATTTCTTGAATTGTAAAAGGAGAATAATTTCCAACTTGTCAACTGCATCAAATACAAAATACTTTTGTAAAGCGTTAAAAAAGATTTCTGTTGTTTATTATACAAGTCTAAATCACAATAATGATCATTATTATTATCATTAAAGATGTTTCTAAATAAATAATTTTAATAGCACAGGATAAACTCTAGCCTTTCTGGTCCTAAGAATCTTATATCTGTATATAACTAGAAAATTACGTTAAAAATTCTAAAGACTCACAGAAAAATCACTGTCGTTGTCAGTTTCAATGTTAATATCGTTATTTCCTCAGCTTCAATTTCTCTAGTTAACTGTTCCTCTTCAGCAATCGCACTAGCAATGGCTTCTTCATTGGCTTTTTCAAGACGATCTGCTAGCTCCTCTTTTTTAGCAAGGACTTCAGCCATGGACTACAAAGTTAAAAACAAACAAACAAACAAAAAAAGAAGAATCATCACTAGACTGAAAAGTTATGTAAGCATTTCTTCCTATTCTACTCATAAAAGTATGTGTAAAATAATAAATATTAATCTAGCATCATAAAGCCTGGGTCGAACCGTCTCAAACACTTGCTAACAATATGACGCGGTTTCTTAAAACGAACACCCTGTTTGTTTTCCATAAAGATTACTGCTCCATGGCTTACCTCCTTACTAGATGCTGTTGTTTATGAAAACTTAAAGCTATAAAAGTAACAGGTATTATTAATAACAAAACGCAAATTTCATTTGAATGCAAAAATTCAAAAGAATCATAGATGAATATGCTCACTGAATACAAAACAAAAGCAGTATGTACTCTAATGAGAACATAGAACGCTCACTGTCATAGTGATGATGATGAGGCTAGCAACAGAGATTTGCGGACTCTTGCTGGCACCATGATACATGGCTGTTCCCACAGCATTTCATGCTAAACCCTATCTCAGCCCAATGCTGTCCTTTGCAGATGGAAACTTCTTTTCAATGGCAAATCCTTTGCAGTTGGAAGTTGTAAAGAATGTAAACAGAAAGCCTTGAGGCCTTCCACTCTGCCCTCATTTACCTTTCAGGTAAAAGTTCTTTGCTTAAAACATAAATATTGCTTCCACCTCATGCCTGTGATTAAAAATACCAGCAAGCTAGCTAAGTTCATGCACAGAGACGGACTCAAACCTGCCAATCACCTAGCCCATCCTATAGTGACCACCCAGATTTATGCTCCTTGACCTTTGAATTCATAGCTGGTCCTTTGAACGAAGACTAGAATGACTTCTGCCCCACCTGGGCTAGGAGGGTACACTGTGCTCGCTATGGTAACTTCCTCTCCACTTTTAATAAACTACATACACACTGGGCATCATGCTTAGATTCTTGTCCATATGGAACTTAAGAGGCTAAGCATCTTCTGACTAGACGTTTTCCAGAGACTATCCATCCCAGTAACAACAATACAAAAATAACACAAACACACAGAACAATGAACAGACACATAAACAATGAAGACAGAACAAAAACAGGTCATACCAAGGAAAGGCAACAAAGGGAGGGGGGGGG